GCAAAACGATTAACGAAAAAAGTCACTGCACGATTTTAGAATTTTAAATCAAAAAAAAAGTCACGATTTAGAAAACTATTTTTTCACCAAACACAGAGTGAAAACGAAAACGTTTGCATATGAGAAGCAAGCTGCGAGCTTTGTCGTAACTCTCCTATCTCACAACACTTCATAAGACGTACAAAAATGATATTACTCACGCGAATCCCGAATTGAAATCTCAATAGCCTCAGTTTCTGCAGTATTGAGGCTTTCAAGATTTTGATTCCACGATTCGGTGTAAGGCATTTTTGATCATCTAAATGAAACTCACTTCATCTGTGTGCGCCGGAATCAGCGCCAATGGTTTGCAATCCTCAATCTGCTTCGCTAATGTATTCTTATCATTTCGTTCATTATACCACCGTAATCTTCATACCAAGAACGATAAACCAAATATCCAAATATGACGCGGTGTCCTAGACAACTTCAATTTAATCCTTATGTCATCTATTACAAATGAGAATTCGGCTCCCCAACTTTCTTCGCATTTTGGGGCGCGGCCGCGGCGAGCGGGGCCGAGTCGGTAGTGCCTACCATAATTTGCAGCACTGACGACTCTGCCGCGCTCGCCGCGGTCCCAAGTGTGAAGAAAGCGGGGGAGCCTGAGAATTCTTCACATGGCTAACCTCCCAATACTCCTCAAAGGTTGTGTTGTTCAACCATCTTTGAGCGTCATCGAACGTTCTCTTTCTTTTTCTGTAGAATTTGCTATGTTCTTGCCTTTTTGTAGTTCCAAATCGTTTAGGTAGCTCCGCCCATGCGTCCGCTTTAAGCTCAGGACGATTCGCGTCTATAAACTCTAATATGTACGTCGATGGAAAACAAAAGGCAATTCGAACGATCAAAACCTCTCGCATATGGTACAACAAACAAAACCTCCAAAACGTACCGCTTTCGCTCGCGGCTGTTCCCTCTTCTGTTGCAGAACTTTGGAGAGTGAGGGAAGCATCGTTCTCTTCATTGTCGGAGAGGCTCATTGCTCCAACGGAATCGGTTATGCCGTTAGCTTCAATTTGTCTACGTTCACTGAGCTTGACGAGATCCTTGTCACTGGAATGAGAAAAGTCCACTACAGTATATATTTCCTTATCAAAGGGACATGGAATCAAATAAGAATTAAGAGACAAATTTTCAATAGTAAATTGCGATCAGCTCGGGTCATGATCTGCATGCATTGCGTTCTCCAGGATAGGACTCATCTGCTGTCGCATGCGGTGAGAAAAAATGTACAGCCCATATCTCGAAGTCAGATTAGATGAGTCTATGGATTTGACGTGGCGAACGCCGCACTTGATAGAAGTCGCGTGGATGTACATACTCGATATCAACAAGCATGCTGGAAGCGGCTTATTCGCGCTACTTCTACCTCATGACTGGTGTCAGGGTCCGCGATCTGTCGCAGGTTTCGCAGATTTCCGCGCCAAGTGTTCTCAATCCTGCCGCCACTTCTGCTTGATAGTGATGGCTGAATGACGACTGCTCATGATTCCACTTGTTTCATATTCAGTGTTTCAAATGTTCACAATGGGGCACTTGCAATTTTTGCGATCCGTCGCAGGTTTCGCGCAAATCGCGCAAATCGCGAAAATCAGCGAAACCTGCGACGGATCGCGGACTCTGACACCAGCCTATGCGGTGGCCGAAACGTTAAATCTGTAGAAGCGCCCTAATCTGACTTCGAGATATGGAGTATAAGCCCATGAGCATCCCAGGAGGGATAGAAAAGCACTCGTCGCTGAATTGCTTTCATATGCATCAGTACTGCAGCGAAAAGAGACGATTAACCAAGATCTATCAAAACCTATTCTTGCTCTTCTCCCTAGCGATAGCCTCGCGCAGTCGCATGGTTCTGCCTTTATCAGTCACCTACACTTTGCTTAGTGCAGGTAGCCTCTGCGCGGCCATTTCTGAAGGAACTAAAAAGCTAAGAAAAAAAAGATGATGAAAGTATGCATGTTAAAAGACTGCCACAACGTAGAAAGAGGAATGCGAGAATCCAGTGCGAAAATGTCCCAAACTTACCTGTGCTCAGAATTAATGGAATTGAACAAATATTCTAGCGAAGTGGAATCTGGATGGAATGGACTTACTTTAGATGAACTCTAGACAAACAGCAATCGTAATCGAGTGTAGTTTCGTCTGTTGAATTTCGCTGTTGAAAAACAGCGTAAAAGTCGGCCAAATGTTCCCACGGAAAACGAAAGTCCTCAATAGGAGTGGATTCAACCTCCTCCATGTGGTGAATATCACCTGGAACCAAAAAGGAAAACGACTTCTATAGGCGGTATACAGTAACCATCGAGATCTACATAAATGCTTCTTAGGGTCTCATCCGGTAAGAGGGGGCATTGCGGTGCACGGTCTGCTCTAATGCCAATTTGGCTCAAGGAGTCCTTTAAAGTTACGAGCTGCTATCAGCTTTTTTCCTATGTTATTTCTTCAGGTGTTTTGTGTAATGTATGTATTCTTGTACTAGATGACATTAACGTCTACGAAAAGTGAAATTCACCTAGTTAGCAGGTCAGGACTAAGCCTAGGAGGGGGAGGAAGTCCCCCCGGGGAAAACCAAGATTGCTCACGGACCGGGGACTCCTTCCCTTCTAGGGCTTAGTCCTGAACGTCTACAATAAAATAATGTGCTTTCCATGGTTTGAAATGCTCTAGATCGCTATGCCCCCCCTTACTGGATGAGACCCTTCTTAAAATAAGAAAACAGCCAGCAAAATAAAAAAAAAGATTCAGACCACGCCCGGCAGACCAAAACAGGTGAACGCACACACTTCCTAGACCCAGAATTGCACACAATCCGTACTTAAATTTTCTTAAAAACTCACCACAAATAAGGAACCGCGACTTCCACTATTATTAGCAGTAACAAGGCCGAAATCCTTTTCAAAATTCGAATTTCAATAAAACTAGCGTGAGCTGCAGTGTGCTGTACGTAGCCACATAAACGACATCATTACAGTAACCACAAAAATGTGCACCTGGGGCGTGGACGAGGGACTTATTTTGGTTATGATATAAGACATGAAGGGAATAGTAAAGGGCTTGCCTAAGGGGTTTCGAATTGGGCGAAAAATGCAGATCCTGAATTATCATCCTATGACAGTACGTCACGCAACACACATCATAACCTCTGGGGTGAGCTAACCACGGATGGAGAAACACAATCAGACTTCGGATTTTAAACACCTATATGGAAGGGCGGAAGTGGTGTAGTGACAAGTGGCGCGCTTACCACGCGAGCGGTCCGGGGATCAAATCCTGGGTCGTGAGTCGCCCGGGCCAACCAAGCCTTCCATCCCTCCGGGGTCGGTTAATTGGTACCAGACTTGTCTGGGAGGATAAAAACACTGACTTGTACATCGGCTGGCCCCCGCAAGTCATTAACAACTATATAGCATCCTTATACGAAGTTATAAATTAAAGGCATGCCCAGGATCACATTGGTGTGGCTCTTGTACACGAATGCGAATGTATTGGTGCGAAAGTGGGCCGGCAGTAAAGAAAAAAGGAAAAGAATCCGTCAAAAACGCTTAGGTTAAGGGCTCACTCACCTTCCTAATCGGCTGTGCTAAGAGGATTGAGAGACTAAGCGCGAGAGGAGAGTATAGGGCGA